TTCACTATTTTCTTTTTTTCTAGAATCCCTCCTTAGGCTTATCCCAAAAGACCTAGTGGCGACATTCTAAATTGTCTCACACAGGCAGGGTCTCCACTCAAATAACTGATTGTAAGACCTCCAGCAGGTACCTATGGCTAAAAACAAACTTCAAATAAAAGATTCTAGGTTGTTTTATTGAAGACAATCCTTTCCTCCCTCTTCACTTTCATTTCCCTACCAATAAACTATGTTAAATAATCTTCACTACAGGAGGGAAATAGGTGTTTCAAAGCATTTTGGAGGTACAAAGAGACTAAGAAATGCATAATAGCAGGAGTAGATTCTGAGGCAAGATTAATGAGGGAATGGCATGACCCTTCCTTGTAAGTCATTTACTACAGAAGCCTTCACAGTCAAAATATTGGGACAGAAACACGTATTAGTGGGATTTTCATCTATCTTTGGAGATTAAAAAAAAAAAAAGTCTAATGAGCACCTTAGGAATCAACTGTGATACTTTTATACAGAAAATGCTTTCCCAAGTAGCTTAAGGTGAATGCGCGGGGAGGTAGGTGTCCTCAGACAGACTCCAAGCACCTCACTCTGACGTGATTTATCTTTCTGCATGCTTTCCCGATTCCCTCTCCTGTTGCAGCAGCCACTCAAGAACTGCTTGCGGGAAAAATTAAATATAATTAAAATGATCAATAACTCTTAAGCAACATATATTTCAGCTTTTACTCAAGGTTATAAAAAATGCAAAGAATATACACAAATGTTTCTGCCAAAGCATGATTAGTATCGCTTTTGTAAAAACTGGATTTACAAGCATGCTTTTAAAGACCTATCATCCTCTAGGAATTTCTTAGATGGGGGTTATATAACGGTAATTCATTATTTACAATTTTTTCCTTTAACTTTTCTCAAATTTATATCCTTGAAAGTCATTTTCAGTGAGCTCAAACATTTCTCTAAAGACTTTTTGATTTATTTATGATGAAAATTTAAATAATTGAAAAAAACCTACTTTGATTGCCTTATTATAAATTCCTGGCCATTCAAGGTATCCTTTTTTTTTTAAACAAACTCAGGTTAGGTTTTGCCAAATTACGTTAAACTAATTTTACTTTGTTTTGAAATCTGACAATCACTAAAATATAATAACACTTTTCTTAATGAGGGTTTGTTGCTCTGTGTGCAAGCCAAGTCTCGTTTCAAACAGGCATTATCAAATACCATACAGGGAAAGCCCTAACTGCTTCTAATGAACATTAAATTATAGGTTGTTTCATCAAGTTAAGTAATATCTTTTTTTCCACTTTAATCTTTATTATTTATTTATCTTTGAGAGAGAAAGAGCACGAGTGGGGAGGAGCAGAGGGAGAGGGAAAGAGAGAGAGAATCCTAAGCAGGTTCCACGCCCAGTGCAGAGCCTGACGTGGGGCTCGATCTCACAACCCTGAGATCATGACCGGAGCTGAAATCAAGGGTTGGACCTGAGCTGAAATCAAGGGTTGGACACTCGATGGACTGAGCCACCCAGGTGTCCCTACATTTTAATCTTTAAAGAATGAAGATGAGAATTAGTGAGAATGGTAGGCCATCTCTATTTTTGTCTTGAGGCCACTGTTTACAGTAGAACAGAGTCAGCCGTTCAAAAATTCTATTTTTTTTGACCGTATTGTGTGTTCTACTCCTGTTACCCCTTCATTGCTCTTGGGTAGGTCAGGTAACTTCTCTAGGTCTGTCTCTCCATTTCCAAAAAAGGAGACTGGGCTTGGAGAATGATTTCCAGGATCCTTCTTAATCTAACACTCCAATATTTCTTCTATGGCTTCGGACATGGTGTTACTAGTATCTCCCCCAGGACTGGTCATCCTAAAAGGGATTACATAACAGATTGAAAAGCAAATTGTTATGAGCCATAAATTAAACCATAATTAAGGTTTTAGACATACCATGTACTCCAGGGCCGAAAGCTTATGGAAGCTGAAGGAAGGCTTACCTGGAGTTAGTGTTAAGAGATGTGGTGAGAAGGAAGATGGGCGTGTTCCTCTTTTTTTCAGTAAGTCTACAGAGCTCATCTACCTGAAACGAGGTCATTTAACTCCAAATCTATGACACTTTGTCGCAATTTCATTTCGGAAGTAGGAAGAGCGGGCATTCTAAATAGACAGTAATTCAGAAACTATGGCCCATCCAAAAGCCCTCTAAGTCAGGTATGTTCTGATTTACAGGTTGATTGTGCCTGTATCTTTCCACCTTCTACTGTGTCAGGAAGAAATAAAGTGAGGGAGATAACACGTCCAAAAACAAAAACAAAAAAACCAAAAATTAAAAAACAAACAAACAAAAAACCCAACAGCACTTGCTCTACACACGTCCCCCCACCCCCAGGCTGTGGGAAAGAGAGGTGAGGGAGGTGCCCAATCAACTAAGAGGAACTGCATCAACCCAAAACCTGTAGAGATAATGACAGAAGTGAACCTGCATTATATGGGCTCAGCAGGGGCTAAATGAATGTCACAGGAAAGGCCACTTGGATTGTCTGTGCTGTAGTGATTTTTTGCGACTGAAAAACCAAATAAAAATAGATGAGTTCTAAAATGTGTCTACTACTCGTTAACATTTAAACGTTACAACGTTAATCTGACATACAGTTTAATATGAAACTATGATTTCAATCCACGGCAGCTTCCTACACTCAAAAAGCTGTCCTGCCATGTTGAACTGTCAGAAGACAAGGCTCAGCTGAACCTGGGTGCTCACTGTAGAAAATCTCATGTTTTTACTGGCTAGCCAAAAGAGCTCTTTAGCTACAGTCGTGTTTCTGCTAGAGATTCTTAGATCCCCTTTCCTTTCCCTAGGCCATAGCAGGACTGACTTTCCATAGTTGAAGCGGGGCCTAGGGGCTGACTGTAGGCTGGCCTGTTAACAGTGAAAGTGAGGAAATGGGGTGGGTGGGTGGCAGTGTGGTTCTGTGCCCGCCCCCCTTCACAATTCCCTTTACCAGAAGGTGGTTTTAGGCATCTTATAATGAAATCTAGTTTCTGTTTTACCATGTTTCTTCCTAATCTGAAACACATTCTCTATCCCCTGCCTATCCAAACTATAGTTATCCATCAAGATTCTCACATTTTTATTCTTCTGTGTATCTTCTTTGTCTACTAGGTCTCTCACTCATTTCATTCTCTTGGACTCCAAAGAGTATAACTCTGCCACACAATTTAATACCTCATCCCTCACAGTCTATTACACATTTCTAAGAGCTGTTTCAGTTTGTAAGCACCTCGACGGTTTGCACAATCTTCCATGGCAGGGGCCCTAACAAACATTTCTGTTGGGACACTATATTACAGTAGTTAAGAGCACAAAAGACTCTGACATCAGACTTCTTTGATTAAGCTCTAGGTTTTAATAGTTGTTAGCTATTGCTAACAACTTGCTCAAGAAACTTATCTGCTCTGAAACCTAATACTTTGCATGAAAAAATGCAGATGATAAAATGACTACCTATATTGTGGAGATCCCTGTAAAGCCCTTAGGATAGCATCAGGCACAAAATAAGAGTTCAAAAAATGCCAGTGCTATTATTATAATAATGAAAATAATAATTATTTCATTACACCCACAGAGCTTAGCAAAGTCCTGGGTCATACTACATACTTATAAAGGGTGAAAGTTATTCTCCGGGAGGCAGTCGATCCCTCCCACCACAAAGTATGGTTAAATTCAACTTTTCAGGGTGCCTGGGTGGCTCAGTTGGTTAAGCGACTGCCTTCGGCTCAGGTCATGATCCCGGAGTCCTGGGATCGAGTCCCACATCAGGCTCCCGGCTCGGCGGGGAGCCTGCTTCTCCCTCTGACCTTCTCCCCTCTCATGCTGTTTCTCTCTCTCTCTCTCTCAAATAGATAAATAAAATCTTAAAAAAAAAATTCAACTTTTCAGAACTGCATCTCCTTGGATTTGTTAAAATGAGCATTTTCAAATTCCTCTTAGGCTTCTTCTATATCCAGCCACTACTGGGCCATGCAGTATGTTCGCATACATGGAGGAGAGGTAAGGGTGTGATAAGCAGAGGCTGTTTTTCACTGATGCTTACCTGAATCAAGTTATATAACTAGAATATTTTCTTTAGAATAAACCAAAGTATGTAACTGCTTACCAACAGCACCCATGGCTAATCACTCATAAATTCAGTGATTACACTTTTACATTTTGGAGGTCTACACCATTAAATTGCAACCATACAATACAAGAGAAACCTCTGGTTCTAGCAGCCAAAAGAAACTGGGTTCTACTGGATTGAAAACAAGCACCTTTTATGGAAAAAACATATTAATATAAGTTGAAATTCAAGGACTTGCCAATCTTTTTCTCCCCAAACCCCGACAAGTTCCAATTTTATCAAGAGTTATACCAGATAAGGACAGCTGAGTATGAGGGATGAAATTACTGGTATCTTTTAGCCTGATAGTTTTGTTCAGGTAAATATCAAGTGTGCTCATCAGATCACAAATGAAACAGCTTCACTTCCTTCGGAATATTTTTCAAACATAAGAACAAAATTATTTCATCACACAGACTCATTTTGTTTTTGTTTTATGTAACCTCTCTTGTATCCTAATTTTTTTCTTTTTTCCTGTAATGATCAAACAAGTCACCACTGTATTAAAAACACCTAAGACAGTTAAGTAAAAATGAGTAAGGCATTGAACTTAACTCTAGATCCAGCCTTTCTTTGTTTCACTTTCTTTTATAGCTAATACACAACTGCCCATGCAGATCTTAACTGTGACTTACTCACAGACTACGAAAGAAGAGGCACTTCATTCCTTCATAATGTTCTATGAGCTGCCTCCCTCCCCCAATCCTATACAAACAACAGTGGAATATTCAATTTAAGGTTGTGCCATTTGGCTCCGCAAACACTGGGTCTTCAGCAAAGGTGCTTTCAGTCCGGATCTGAAATGATGGGATCATGGATTAGGAATGATTCTGGTGACAGTGATATTTACCTCTTTGAGACAGCCCATAAAGTTGTTACTGACTGGTGACCCTGGAAGGTCTGCTGTGCTGGGACTGCCTCCAACATAGAAAAAGTCATCAGACCCCAGCATGGTATAATCTTCTTGCGTGTAGCCCGTTGTGGTAAGAATCCCATCCACTGATATTGTCACCTAGATAACAAAGCACAGGGAAAGGACACGCTATACTCAGACCTAGATACTGTGATCCTGGGATATGCCTGTTTTGTGTTTTGTTTTGTTTTTTTTTTTTTTCGTTTTGTTTTTTTGCTTTTTTTTTTCTGTTTGTTTGGTTTTTATTTTTAGACCTATGGCGGAACCCATTTTCATGTCTGTTTGAAGTTTATTCTTGGATTCTATTCAACTAGCCCTAAGCCATCTAAACTAGTTAGAGAGTTAACTGATTATTGAACTAGTGTCAGCATCATCCCTACTGCAACTCAAAAGTTATTTAGCAGACACAAAAATGGTGTTAGTAAAATGCTTCCTAGGTTAGTTTTGCTGGTGTACATATTAGTAAAGTTTAGTCGTCTGTTATTAACTAATCACAACGTGCACCTTGTTAACATAAAAGGCGCAAGCTATTTCCAGCAATGTCACTATTCGCGCTATTGAGCAGCAGTTGTTCAGCATGCAAGTGCCTAGTCCATGCCAAAGGGGAAGAAAGGCAAAACAACCCGTGGAAGCAGCACACGCGGATGTGCACATGCAAGAGGGACAGTACAGTTCAGAAAGGAAAGGAAAGAAAACGGGGAGAACCAAAGGAAAAAAACAAAAAACAAAAAAACCAAAAAAAAAAAAACCACAACTGCTTTGTGATGACGTAAAGATGAGTGGGTGTGGCATCTCCAACATTCCCCAATCAGGTGTGCATGCCATGCATCATGAATGGTTAGAGACTGGCTGAGCTTGCGGTCACTCGGGCCAGCCACCATTTTGTCTTATCCCGTGTTAACCACAGCTGGATGCAAAACGTTCGAAACGTTAACGATGCCCCTACAGGTGAGTTGGAAAACAGAAGTTGACAGGAACAGGTAAAAAATAAGAAGGTCAACAACAGATGAAAAGAAGGAGGTCAAAGTAAGCAGAAGAGTACCAACCGCAGTTCCTCTTTTGTTAATGATGTCTACAGTTAAAAGAAAGAAAGAAAACACACGGCAAACCCAAAATAAGAAACAATTAGAATGATATCTACCGAACAATGTAGTTTGTTTACCATAGCGTGTCCAATGCCTGAGTGCTTTGTGGAGAAGGGGGGAGAAAGGAAATTAAAAACTGTGAACAGAATAACGATCGTTACTTAAAAAATATGATGGTCTCTACCATGTTAGTACATTTTTTGATTCAGGTAACGGTTAGTAGAATGAAACATTCCATGAATGACATGTTAGTTATTAAGCATGTTAGTAACATAGAAAAAGGGCAAAAAAATTTTACAAGAAAAAAGCAGACTAACAAATAGGCCTCCCACAGAGGTAATATTTTTCCTGCCAGTATTGTTCATCACTTGCTACTAGATAGAAACAGACATATGGCAATGTTCCCTTTGTCTCCCTGAGTACATCTGACAGTCATTTAAAAAGTCTATAAGGGATTCAAAGGCCTCAAGCTCATCAGCTGACCACTGCCGCCTTATGCCCGGAGGCGCTCCCTCCCCCACCCTGGCCCACCCCACCCCAGCAAATTCATAGGAATTGGTTGGCATTGCCCTGCTACTCAATTTTACAGCACACAAGGACTCCTTCTCAACTCCAAAACTTCCTTCGGTCATATTGATGGGCTTTAGGGTCACAGTTTACTGCAATGAAACAAAGCAAAGATCCTGACACATAGAATGAGTAGAATGGATTTGTTTTTAATCTGTCCTGCCACACATGCACCCCAGCTGTATAACCACAGTTTCCTTTGAGCTACCAATTCGCAGTTTGCTTTGTAACCTGAGCAAAGGCAAATCTAGAAAGTGGGCTCCTCAAGCCCCACCCTTCCTTCTGCGCTTCTCTCAAATGGGCCTCCGGTCTCTTGGTGAGAATCTGAGAGAAAAAAATAAAAAAAAGGAAAACCAAAGAGACAGACTTATAGGAAATCCATGGTCTCCTGCTGCACTGAGTTGGTGTGGGGGGGTGACTCTTTCCCAGGGCAGGTGTGAAGCATGCAGGGCCCCTCCCATGACAAGAAGGCCTCTGAAAGGTCTTTGAGGATCTAAGAATCCTTCAGTTTTACTTGTCTGCCTTAGGTAGACTGTCTGTACGCCTAAAATTCTTTTTTGCCTCAAGTTTGGAGAGTGTAAGCCTTTCAGAAGCGGGAAAGAAAAGGTTAGACGGTTAACAGCTCAGAAAGAGAGGGCTGTTTTAGTAAAGGAAAACCAGAGACAATCCGGTCATTCTGCAACTGTTCAGAGAAACAACAAATATGTTAAGGATATTAGTTTGAGATCAGCATGAACTGCAGAAAAATTAGTCACTGTCAACACTTAACAAAATGACACATTGTAATATAAAATTTCAAATAACCAAAACTTATAATGTTCAAAATAAAAGGACAATCTATTCACTTCCATTTGTATATATAGGTATATATATATATACTGTAATAATATGCCTCAGTTAAAAACATACAGTATATGTGGACCCATAGATTTACTAAAGAATTGATATTTTCCTAGTATATAGACTCTTGCAAGATTTTTTTTTTTTTTAAATACAACCAAATAGAAATGGGCACCTAGAAGATGAACTGGTCTCTCCAGAGTCATTTGGGATTTAAAGTATCTGTGCTAAAAATAAAAAATGGCTTCATAAACAGACTCTTCAGGAGATGTACAGGCCCCCAAAGTCGTTCTTTATGCCTCAGGGGCTGTTCTTGTCCCTATTTCAGAGGTAGGGGTGGAGAGGGAGTAGGGATTGATACAATCCCAAATCACAAACACACTGATATTTTTACTACAAAAAAGGAACTGTGATTTAATGATCCCAATGTGCATGCTTCCAAATGATCAGCATGAAAACTAGAATTTAAAATCAAACAAACAAACAAAAAATAAAAAATAAAACACAACAAAATCACACACATCACAGGAAGGGCAGGTCGCAGGGATACCCTTGCCGCCCTCTGGGAAATTGTCATATGTTGCTGTATCAAAATAGCCTTTGGGCCCCCCAGAACTTTCTAGATATGCCCCTGCTCAAGTATGGCAGGAAGATTCATCTCAGAAGAAGAAAAATCTAATTTGTAAGCGACTCTGAGGAGCCCTATATCATGTTGTTAGGATTTTCAAGTACCACACACACAGCTGTAGTGAGAAACAAAGCCAGTAACTCTCTTATCCACTGCGTTGTTACCTGACGCAGATTCCTCGTGACTTTCACATCATGCCAGGCATTATCATTAAACTTTCCATTCACGGGCTCCACTAGTGCTTCAAAGGCTCCTGATCCCAAATTAATGACCAGAGAGACAGCTCCATTTTTCAGGGCAAGATTGACATAATCAGCTGATTTCCCGGTATGAAGCATCAGTCCATTCCTCTGAAGAGTTTTAAAGGACAGAGTTATTTCATCGCTGCTGCTTTGAATGGGGTTTTGAGACAAGTCGTAGCAGAAGTATTCAGATCCCTTGAAAGTGGCAATATATTCTTCTTTTCCTAGGGGGAAACAGACATATATGTGCATAAGTAAAGAGATATACTATGTAGATCAGCAGACCTTAACAGAAACAAAATTAATCATTAGCCCCCCCCAAATTAACTCTGTCTAATTAACATTCATGACAAGAGCCCCGTCAAACAGTCAAACGGTACTGTAGGTGGCAGTATATTTTTAATAAACCTCCTTAGCTATTGGGCCATCAATTTCAATAGCTAAAGCTGACATTCTTGAAAATTCAATTAATTTTTAAGTATCACTGCAAGAGCTCTGATCACAGAAAGTAGCTCTGTGATATCTCCAGGGCATGAATCAGGTACCATAAATGCATATTGGACGGTTCTACTCTGCTGGCAACAATGGGTGCCAATGTGTTTGCAACATTCTCTCCATCCAACTGAAGCGTTATTTTAATTTTCAGTGAGACATTTATATTCAAAGATCTCAGTGAAGAGCCAGATATTTTCATCACTGAGAAACCATAACAAATTATCTGGTAAGGGGAAAGCAAAGAAAAAAAAATAGAATTTGGTCTGGGAGTAAATAGATCTCCTACAGAGCATGTGCATTTTGTTGTTGTTCCCTCCTTGGATGTTGGGAGCAGTGATAGTGAGCTTAATGGAGTCTGCTGGATTGTTGATTCATTCCCTGATCTCACCAAGCAGATGGTAGGGCTGGCTTTTATGAGACTGGTCGAAATTCCAGCACATCATCATGGGAATAGCATGTAAATGAAGTCTCAACATTCTCTATATATCTGTCTTTATCATATTTACGAGTAACAGTGTGGGTCCCACAAGATGTCAGACAGATTAACCCAAAATGTGGGTGTTTGGAAAGAGCAATCTTCTCCCACTGATTAAGTGAGTTTAACCAAAGGAAGAGTGTAAGCCAAAAGCTTCCTCAACTTCCTAGGCAATGCTGGTATTGTGCCAAGAAAAATGAAACAGTATGGTCTAGAATCAGCTTCTGATAAACTATAAACACAGAATTATAAGTGATACTGGGGAATCTTAATCTGTTTTACTGGTAATATAGCCTCTCTACCATGTCCACAGGAGGGTTCATGCCAAAAAGGGGCTTACCCTTGGCAACAGGTTTTTACCTCAGGGCTATTTCATTTGATAGTGAAATAACTCATGTCCTTGAATCAGAGCTCAAATCAAGGTCTCAACTCACCAGTGCCTGACGACCTGACTCTCTGGATGCAGACAGTGCCACAAGTGGCTAGAGGTAGACAAGGCATGGCACGGAGTTAAACAGTGAACACCTAGGGACTTTCACAAGGGTGTGCCCTAGAAGAAAAGTCACTGCCTACCAGTAAGTTATTAGTGACGACTAGTGGTCAAGCCAAATCCATCACATTCTGAGGCAGAATCATAGCAAGGGCAATGCAAGCCAAACTAGAGGGTCCCTCCCATTCATACAGTCAAAATATTGGTTGAGCACCTCCTAAGTGTTAAGCCCAGTACTGGTCTTTAGGGATAATGGAGTGGCCAAAGCTGACCTGATTCCTTTCTCTGAAAGTTGACAGTCCAGGTGTCTACTCCCCTGATCAGTTCAATATGGCAAGTGGCTTGATATTGGGAGCTAGCACAACCAAATATTTCTAAATATATGTACTGGGGGGTGGGGGGAAAAGTAGGTCAACATATGAAATTAGATCCTAGCTTGGCTACTTGCTAACTCCACTGGGGAGCAATTATGCATCTTTTCAAATCTCAGTTTCTGAAATATGGCTAGTTATACCAGTCTTTCCAGATAAAATGAGATAATGCATGTATAGACATATGGCAAATTTGGCAGGCCTTAGGAATGGTAGATACCTTCCTTCTTGCCTGTCTAATGTAATAACTGTGATAAATAATCTAAAGCAAATAGCATATGTGAACTTCATTATGAAATCTAGAATATTATCTTTAAGGTCAGAACAAGGACGCCTACTATCAACATACTGTACTTTAAGTCCTTGGTAATGTAGGAAGAAAAGAAAAATATATGAGCATTATAAAGATTATAAGTGAAAAAAAGCATATTAGTAAATAGTATTGTATAAATTGAAAGACCAAAATAATCTTCAGAAAAGTACTGGGTTTAACAAGATATTTCAGAAAGACTGCAGGGTTCTATATACTGGGAGAGTCAATGTTTTAAACATATATAAACAGATCTATAGATTTGATGAAATTCCTTTAAAAATCTAAATGAAATTTTTATGAATGTGAAAAGCTGATTCTACAAGTTCTTTGGGAAAAACGAGCCTAAAATAGCCAAGCTATGTCAGAAAAAGAAGTAGAAGGAACTTTCTTGTGTGAAGGTGCACATTTATTAGAAAACTATGGTAATGAAGATAATACATTAGGATAAATGAAAAAAGGGCGGATAAAAAAAAGAAACTAAAAATAATCCTAAATCTACATGAAAACGATTTATATCAAGTCAGGAATTACAGTTAAGTGAGCAGAGTATAGATTAGTCAATAAATGGTGCTGGGACAACTGGTTATCTACATGAATAAAGTAAAATTGGATCTCTACATCATCTACAAAAACCAATTCTCCATGCACAAAGGATATAAGTTGCTGAGGTAAATCTGTAAAATTTTTGTAGGACAAGAAAGTGAGATACTGAATTATGGAATGATTTATTAAATAGGCGTAAAAGGAACTAATAAAATATCAATACATTCAACCACATTAAAATTAGGAACACCTGTTCATCAATAATATCACAGAGAGAAAGAATCTAAATGAAAAAACTGGAAGAAAATAATTTTTTAAAGATTTTATTTATTTATTTGAGAGAGAGAGAGAGAGTGAGCACAAGTGGGGCAAGGGGCAGAGGGAGAAGCAGACTCCCCATGGACCACAGAGCCTGACATGGAGCTTGATCCCAGGATCCTGGGATCATGACCTGAGCCGAAGGCAGATGCTTAACCAACTGACCCACCCAGGCACCCCAAAAATATTTTTATACCATATTAATTTAAGAAGGACTACAACCCAGGATATGTGAAGCACTTTGATAAATGAATATGAAACAAGATGAACAAGGGGAAAATAGGCAAAAGAAAAGCACAGGTAATTTCACAGAATAAATGAAAAGATGCTCAATCCTATGAGTCTTCTGGGAAAGGCAAAAACCAAATTATATTCAAATACCATGTCATAATGCTGAAATTGGCAAAAAATGAAAATAAAAGAGAAAAATTCCAGGTTTGGAAAAGCCATGGAAAAAAAGTAATTCTTACTTACTGCTGCTGAGACGGCCGATGAGATGAAAATTGACCAACTGCAATAAGCACTATTTGGCATTATATAATCCCATGGGAATTTCTCATATTGTAAAAGTCTCAGTACTCAGAAAATGGTTGCCATAATCAATAGAGATAACATTCCTAATTGCTTTCAATTCACTTCTCTCTGCTCATTGTTCTGATCCTTTGATGATAGGTAGTCACATGAATTCCGGTTCATACATATATGTACATACATTATGTATGTATCTGAAGATGACATTTGCAGAATTTTCATCCCTGCTGAATACTTAGAATTAGGTCTCTAAGCCACAGAGAGTTTTAGAGACCCTCCTCTGGCCCAACTCTTTAATTTACATTATTAAGAAAGTAAGCCAAGAAACAGACTCTTAACTATAGAGAACAATCTGAGGAATGTTGGAGGAGAGGTGGGCGTGGGGATGGGTTAAATGGGTGATGGGTGTTAAGGAGGGCACTTGTGATAAGCACTGGGTGTTGTATGTAAGTGATGAATCACTAAAATCTACATCTGAAACTAATATTGCACCATATGTTAACTACCTGTAATTTAAATTAAAGATTTGGAGAAAAAAATTTTCAGACCTATAAAATTTAAATGACTATCAAAGTTCAGAAAGTGTGCCAGCGCTCTCTATTCTGTTCCATTGGTCTATCTGTCTGTTTTTGTGCCAGTACCATGCTGTCTTGGTGATCACAGCTTTGCAATATAGCTTGAAATCAGGCAACATGATGCCCCCAGCTTTGTTTTTCTTTTTCAACATTTCCTTGGTGATTCGGGGTCTTTTTTGATTCCATACAAATTTTAGGATTGTTTGTTCCAACACTTTGAAAAATGCCATTGGTATTTTGATTGGGATGGCACTGAAAGTATAGATTGCTCTGGGCAGCATAGACATTTTAACAATGTTTATTCTTCCGATCCATGAGCATGGAATGTTTTTCCATCTTTTTGTGTCTTCTTCAATTTCTTTCATGAATGTTCTGTAGTTCCTAGAATACAGATCCTTTACCTCTTTGGTTAGGTTTATTCCAAGGTATCTTATGGTTTTTGGTGCTATTGTAAATGGAATCAATTCTCTAATTTCTCTTTCTACAGTTACATTGTTAGTGTATAAGAAAGCAACTGATTTCTGCACATTGATTTTGTGTCCTGCCACATTACTGAATTGCTGTATGAGTTCTAGTAATTTGGGGGTGGAGTCTTTTGGGTTTTCCACATAAGGTATCATGTAATCTGTAAAGAGAGAGAGTTTGACTTCTTCTTTGCCAATCTGAATACCTTTTATTTTTGTTGTTGTTGTTGTCTGCTATTGCTAGGACTTCTAGTCCTATGTTGAAAACCAGTGGCAAGAGTGGGCATCCTTGTCGTGTTCCTGATCTTAAGGAAAAGGCTCTCAGCTTTTCTCCATTGAGAATGATATTTGCTGTGGGCTTTTTATAGATGGATTTTATGAAATTGAGGAATGTTCCCCCTATCCCTATACTCTGAAGAGTTTTAATCAGGAAAGGATGATGTATTTTGTCAAATGCTTTTTCTGCCTCAATTGAGAGGACCATATGGTTCTTCTCTTTCCTCTTATTAATGTGTTCTCAGCCACTTTGGAAAATAGTGTGGAGGTTCCTCCAAAAATTAAAAACAGAGCTACCCTATGACCCAGCAATTGTATGACTGGGTATTTATCCCAAAGACACAGATGTAGTGAAAAGAAGGGCCATATGTCC